CAAGCACATGAAAGTTCATAATTCTTGGTCTTTTTTTTTTTTTTGTTATGATGAGCAAGAGTTGAAATCCGTGTCACGTTGAATATACATGTATATAAATATAAAGTAAATATATACTGACACCTTTGGAACGAAAACTTTTATTCACTGCAGTTCCTGGCTTACCTGATAGTTTTTTTTTTTTTTTATAAAGATTTTCCTACTCGAGAACGAAGACATGTGCATTGCACGTTTATTCTATATGCTGTACCTAATATCACTTATATTGACCTGGAAAGAAAGAAAAATAAAAAAAAAAAAAGTACATCGATAAAATGAATGATGAAGAATTTTCTTTGTTGAATTTTATCTTCATTTATACGAAAGTTGGCTAAATCCTGTTCTTTGTACACGAGTGACCTGTCGTTAGATTTAGAGCTTTCATCTTTTGTTATGTAAATAAACAAAAATAAATATTTCAACACATCACCAATCATGATAAAAGTATTTTTACAAAAAAAATAAAATGAAATAAGAGATATTACCTTGATAAAATATTTATAGGATAAAATCGGTCTAAAATATTGAAACGTCACGTTACATATTTCGAATCAGTGACGTTTGTATTTATAATGCTAAATTTCCGATTGCTTATTCGACTTCAATTTAAATTTATCGACTGGTATTCTGAAGTCGCCCAGCCAATCGAATAAAATATGGACAACTTCAAAATTATACTTTGCTAAATCTTCTTGCGATGCTCACACGTAAATCATTTATTCACTCAATCGATCTTACTCGAGCGATTTTTATACTCTCTTCTATGTTTTTTTTTTTTATTTTTGTAACATAAAAGAAACTTCCGAAGAGTACAATATTCTTGTTTAGTATTTATGAGTCTGTATAAGCTCTTCAAAATTCAGTTAGGAAATTGTTCAAAATTTTAAATTCACAACTTTTTCTATTTAAATCTTCAATTGTATTTAAATGAGGAGCAAAATGGAGTATTTCAGGAAATAATTACTTTTCGGGAACTCAAATGCGTGGAATCTTTTTTTTTTTTAATTATTTTCAGAGTAAATAATAAAAATTTTTTTCGGAAATGAAATAGCGCTAAAACGTATAATATTTTTTATCAATAATTCAACCCTATAAAAAAATTTGATACAAATAACATCTCCGAGGTACTTTACGCAACCGTCCGAGTGTAAAATCAAGGTGCGAAACTTTTATGACTTGAAAATTTTATTCATATATTTTTTACACGGTGTTATCTAATTCTTCAACACAATTTCGTGTTACTGAAAATAATTTTATCCACGATTTTATTATTCCATCAGGCTCCAAAATTTTTGAATGCCCTATTCGTTCAATTTTTTTTCCAAGTTTTATAAAACTAAATCACTTCCTAAGTATCCCACTAACGTCTTTGCATCCAACACCTTAATTCCTTCGAAGCAATGAATAAATCAACACACTAATCTAAACAACAAGCTGATTATCAATTACGTAATCCCAAATGACTTATAATACTTGATAATGACAACTAAAGTTATACTTATTAAAGGCTTATGATATTGAAAATTATGTCACCACCACAAGACATTGTACTCTAAGCTACAAAAGCCAAAAGGAATCATATAAAATCCATAGACTGTTCCTGTATCGGTTACCGTTATTACCAACAAAGCTGTTACTCTGTTTAGCGATATATTTTAGCGTAGGTTGATACTCTAATTAAGAGTATCAATAACTACTATTGCTAAGACAAAGGATATATAATGTGTATATTATAATATCATTATCAAAGGATTTCTCATGGATATTCTATTCTACACAATCGCAAGATTTCTTTCCTTCCTTGAGCATTAGCTTTGAGCGCACTGTACGCCCGACTTTGTGACGAAATTTCATCCTTCCACGTTCCGCCGGTCTTAACACACGCCCTGATAAAAGAATCTAGCATTGGAAATATACAAGAGCACATTTTGTTGTAAATTTGTTTAGTTTCTTTCAAGCTGTAGCAATTCTTTTACTGCGAAGCAACATCTAAACCCTCTTGCTCTTTCTTTATATTGTGGGTAAATACATTGAAGCATCATAAACAAACTCCCACGTTTCTTTTATTGATCTCTCCTCTCAATAGTCAGTAGTATTTCAAGTTTTCGCAAACGTTTATATTTATATGTATAAAAAGCACTATCTTTGCCTCGATTCAACGACTCACTTAGTGTAATTTAACGTCGCTACAAATTTTTATTCCATTTTATTGTGTCTTTCCTTTATTTTTCCTATCAATCATACACTTTTTTGCGCCACTGTTTACCTTTCTTTCTTCCTTCCTTTCTTGTTTATCCTCTAATCATTAAATGCTTTGTTACATTTTATAGACATAAACTTTATTCGTCTTTTATGCATACTAAAACCTTTTACGATTATTAATTTTTACTATAAAAAATATTTACTACAAATGAATCTAAATTTCGGTTTTCAATCAATCCCATATCATGCTTATCAACAGTGAATAATTGCTAAAAATTGTCCCATCAATACAGCTTGACAAGTGATTAAATAAATTTAGCAGCATTTTAATTATATTAATTGAAAAATATTTATTGGCACTATCAAAAGTAATTTAACGACAATCATTAACTAACGGCTATGATAGTTGGCTTTTAAACTGTTATTTCAAAGTAATAACCCCTTTACACCTCCACTTAGCTCTTGGCTATAATTCCTCGGTCGATCTCTAATGGATTCTACAGAATGATAACTAAATTCAAATATTACTTTGCTAAAAAGATAAAGGAACATTAAAAATACAATTTTATTTGATAGAAAAAAATTTCACACAATTATTGACAATATAAAACATCATAGGGATAGATGAAGAGAAAATTGATTGAATTAATTCAATGTAATTCGATGATTGTACATACATGTTTCGATAATAGCTCATTAGAAATCAACTACAAGTGAGTAGGCTGTTTAAAGCTAATAATACAAATAGCCATGGGAAATCAGGAGATTTGAGATTGGAATATACACATATCTATGCTTATTTATCTATCTGTCTGTCTATAACTATATCTATCTCATCTGTGGTATTATTACATAACAATCTATATATATGTACAGATACAGATAAGTTAATTGAATCCACCGACATTATATACGGTGGTCCTTAATTACGGTTAATCGTTTGTGGCTATGAGCCTCATTGAGGATTACCACCGGATTAGTTCGATGAAAGTAATCAGCGAAAGTTGGACACCTCGGTTTTTATCTTTTTGCTTACCGACAATCAGACCATTTTCTTCGCCACAAAATTCCTTTTTTCCTCGGCTTGAAAACTTTTCTGGACCTCAGCCAGATTTCATTTTAAAATAACATATATATAGGTATATATTAAATGACAATTAACAAGGGCATTTTGTGATGCCTCTATGGGAACTAAAAGCTCGTGTAACTTCCTTTCATCTTTACTCATAAACTTTTAAGTGCATCGACTGCTAAAATGAAAAAAAAAAAAAAAAAAAAAAAAAAATTTTCTATAAGGTATGAACTACGGTAATTTGTGTTCATACTTGAGAAAATTGCCTGGTTAAATTGCATTACAGCAACGCTGCTTTTTAAAGTTATGGACAATATAAATATAAAATATATTTAACGGACAATAAAAGCCTGAGAATAATTAAAGGCTGTCAAAGTGAGCGCTTAAATCATTAAGTATCTTTATTTCCAATATTGCTTGACCCAGACAGACATCAATGGTTTGTGATATTACGAGAAAAAAAATTAATAACGATTGATCTTCTACTTGTGGCAATAAAACTATTATATATATATATATATATTTTTTTCTTATATCGGGTATTGAATCTTGAAGGATTCTTTGTAGTATCTCTCATTTTTCTTTTTATTCAACTCTTAATTTTTTTCTGCCCACTTAATCCACCATTTTCTGCTATACGGGTAAAGCACTCAGACCGTTGTGTTGATAACGCGTTGGCGTATGACGTAAGATACCTGACTGAACTTGTATCGTCAAAAGTCAACAATATAGATACAATATTTATTTCTCTTGGGAGAAAAAAAATCTTTGTGACACTTATCCTATCTTTATTACTTTTTTTTTTCGTCAGAGCAAAAAATTTATCGAAAAGTAATATCGACATAGAAATGATGACGTATAAAATTCATTATTGTATTGTAAAGTACTTATAACTTGAATTAAAAAGAATAAAAAATGAGAGCTTAATATTTAATATTTAAGCACTTGTGAAATGTAAAAACTTCACGGTAAAGAGATTCAGGATTATGAAAAATCTCCATGCAAATAGTGCTCGCTTAAAAGATAAAGATAATTTATGTAGATGCGAGCATGTATTAAAAAATAATAAAAATAAGTTGGTAAATAGGAAAAAACTGTGATTATTACGAGCATGTGTGTGCATTATGTGAAAGGGTGTCAGGAACGTAATGTACTAACAGCTACTACCGCTAAAGAATTCATATGCTAGTGGTTATTGACGCGCTATGGTCAGACAAGATAGCATTATAATCGCATGAATGAATATATCATTAACACGTAACATGTGTTTCAGGTTATTTTTACATTTTTAACGCATTGATAAATTATTATTGTTCTTTACATTTTTATTTGCCGACTCTATTTATATATTGACGCAATATTTATACTTTTATATTTATCAACAAACGTTCAAATTACGCGATTTATTTTTAATCATAAAAGTTACAAGTTAAACTGAAGACATTAATGAAATTTTTTTATTAAATTTTTTTTTTCTAATAATTAAATTTTAGTGTAAGTCAAAAATAGTCTGACAGTGACGAATTTCACGGGGCCATTTAATGAATATTAATATAAATGTTAATTACACGTAATAAATAATTTAAAAAACAGAGTACTCTTAAAATTAACATAAATAATGAATTTATTAAAATAAATTAAATTTGAAGAAAGAAACTAATTATTTATTTTATTTAAAATGTTATAGAAGTCAAAATGGAACTGGAGGATCTAATGGCCGATATAAAGAAAACTGCTAACAAAGTTCGAGCAAAATTAAAGGGTAATTTATTTGAATTATTCTAAATAATTATCAGCTAAACAAGAAAGATTTTTAAAGTAACAGTAGTAGTTTCTGTAACATAAATCTTTTTTACGGCTAAAGTTTATTTTGAAACTCTAAACTTGACGTAATCAGTAAGCAGTGAACAGTAAATGGTAAATAAAAGTCTAGTAGACGAGAATAATTTATTTTCTCATTATTGTTGCAGTGATAGAACAGAATATCGAGACGGAAGAGCATACGAACAAATCTTCCGCGGATTTGAGGATACGCAAAACTCAACACTCGACATTGTCAAGGAAGTTTGTCGAGGTTATGACCGAGTACAATCGGACGCAAACCGATTACAGAGAACGGTGTAAGGGTAGAATACAACGACAGCTTGAGATCAGTAAGTTTACTCGCTATAATTTATTAATTTTATTAAAAAGACATTATGGTTAAGAGATATTAATATTCATACACGTAATTTGTTTTTAACAGCGGGGAGAACTACGACTAATGAAGAGCTCGAGGAAATGCTTGAACAGGGAAATCCTGCAGTATTCACGCAAGGGGTGGGTTCTGATACTCAAGTAAAAGTAATATTATTCATGAAATATTTATACGGTAATGTCTATAAGTCAGATTAAATAATATAAATCTGGGTAATCTGGCAATTTCTATTTATTTTTATTATTGTTACCTTATTAGTAATTTTCATGATTTTTTTTCTATTTCCATAATTTTATTCATTTAATCATGATGATTATTAAATATAATTTTTTTCAAAAAAATTATATTTAGCTATCAAAATATGAACGACTCAATTCTTACTTATATTGATCTTTTTTTTTAAATTTATGTATTGATGATAGAATTTAAATTAAGTTCATTATAAAAATTACAAGCAAAAAGTTTCTAAGTTCAAACTTTCCTAACATAATCTTAAGAAAGTTTATTGAATACTCATAAAAATTGTCAAAACTTTTTTTTTTATTTATTATTAATAATAATTTAAGTAATATTTTAGTAATTTTTTTTTTTATTAATTTAAAAATTGAAACAAGCGATAAAATTAAAATCAATACTCTATTTGCAGCAAAAATAAATTTTATTATTGACCTCAACAAATAATCCAGTATTTGACCTGAATGAGTGGTTATTTATTTTTATTTTATGTTAATAGATAATTATGGAAACGCAACAAGCCAAACAGACCCTTGCTGATATTGAAGCACGTCATGCTGACATTATAAAACTCGAAAATTCAATCAGGGAACTTCACGATATGTTTATGGATATGGCAATGTTAGTCGAGAGCCAGGTAAGATTTATTAGTTCGTTTATAATTATTTGCAGTAATTAATGTTACGTGATAAAATAAAGCGCCGTTACCTTTGAATTAAAATTTGTTGAAAACTTTTATGATATTAAATTCTTCTACTAAGATATTAAATAATTCTTTAAGCTTTAGTCTGTTCTTCCGAGTACTCAAAAAAATTATTACAATTATTTATTCATTTATCACAAAGGTAGCGGCTGAATGAAATGATTTATTAAAATGTTTAATTAAATTCAATTTATTTCGATACTGGAACAGCATTAATTGAAATTTTAATTACAGTTAAATGAAATCATATGTTTGACATAAAAAAATTAATTAATAATGAATAATTAAACTATTAATTACTGAGTATTGTTAATTTAATTAAAAACCGTGACAAACATATGGTTTTTATATAGAAGATAAATAATATTAAATTAAAATGTAATTGTCCCCTTTTTAATTTGATAGCTTGAAATGTCTTGTGGCCGGAATTAACCAATAAATTATTTATTTAATATAATTAAAAATAAAAGTCAACAGCGTGAGCCCGTGAAAATTTAACCGCGTTTGACATTAAATCAATCGGTCAGACAAATTTTAATTTTCCTATTCATACTCACTAATAGCAGCGTAAATTAATTACTTAACACAAACCCGCGTACGTTGCTTTAATTATTGTTTTTGTAATCAATATTAATTATCAATAATTCCGTAATTGGATTCCTCGTTTTGGTTTATTGAATATCAATGGAAAATTTAGTATCGATTGCGTATAATGGACGCGCGGCGCCGCTCTTTTCGGGGAAAGCTAATTTTATTTCATTTTATTCATACTAATTTTTCAATTTATAATAAATTAATTTCGCTAATTTTACTTCAAATTATCTACTATTTTTTTTTCTCTATTCTTTGAAACTTTTTTACTTGCAAAAATTTCTATTGTATATACAAAATTGAAAAAGCTGGAAAAATTAATAAATAAAAAATCTATTAATTAATTAATTAATTAATTAACAATATTTATTCCAAACTAAAAAATAACTCTATTGCATGTTAATTAATTTTTAAATTTCAAAAAAATTTTTTAAAATTACCCATTAAAAAAATAAACATCTTTTCCTTTTTATTAAATCTATAAAATTAAACAAATTAATTATGCAGTCAGATTACAAAAAAAAAAAAAATTTTCACCTAAATTTTACAGCAATTATTTCCATCAATTTAGAGTTTAATAAAAAAAATTGTTCCTTGGTAAATAAACAGTTTATCAAAGTCAGACTGCATAATTAAGCACCATAAAAGTATTAACAAACTCACGCATGAAACTAAAAAAATATTTAAGCATCAGAAACTAACATTCTTATCTTTTTCGCTGTGGGGTCGCGCCGCGTGCCTTTTTAGGGCGAGATGATAGATCGCATAGAATATCACGTGGAGCACGCGGTCGACTACGTGCAGACGGCCACGCAGGACACCAAAAAAGCACTCAAGTATCAAAGCAAAGCCCGACGGGTGAGTCCCCCCCAAAATAATATTAAATTTTGTGTTCATCCACATCTAATTGGTCACTTTTTTTCTTCCTCTCCTTTTTCCTCCTTTGTCCTCCTCAACCCATCTCCATTTGTCCTTCCCAAAATCCCGCGCCCATCGATCAATCAATCACCCACTCAATTCCATCGCTTTCCAAATAAAAACTATCTAACACAAATTTACACCCTCCTTCTCTCCTTTTCTCATCAACCCTCATTACCGCTCATTTTATTTTTTTTATCTTTCATCTATATTTTACTATTGACACCTCAAATAATATATTAATTATAATAAAACGGCGTTAATAAAACACCATCCATTTAAATGTGTATAAATAATACATACATCTATCTATATATATTTACGTAACATTATTTGTATTCATTACGTGTGTGTTTGATGCTTTGGTAAACCTAATATTTATTTATAAATATAAATACCGATTTTTAAATCAATACAATATAAAATATTTAAAAAAAAAATTTCCTTTTGAAAATCGTATTTATATTTATAAAATCTTAACATTTATTACTAATCTGTGTTTCCTTTTAATATGAGTGTGTTCATTGTTTGTTTCTGTCCACTACTGCTCTGTTTCACTCTGCAACAAAAAATAATATAAAATAACAAAAAAAAAAAACATACGAAACTAAACGCTAATATTGTCATGATGTAAAAAAAATATTAACCAACCAACCATCCAACCAACTATTTTATTATAAAAACTGACAATTAAAACCGTCTACATTGTACATTAATATATAAATATCTGTGTTATGTATGTGTGTGCGTGTGCGTCCACGCAATTAATAACTGTGGGATCCTTTAAATTGTTCTACTCGATTTACCAAAACCAATACCTTTTTTTACATTAACTTTAACTATTACAAACTAATCCTTTTAACAACAATTACCTGATATTCGCGCATTAAACACAAATACAAACTCGTTGTATGTTGGCATTGCTTTTCATACTATTTATTGTAACTACTACTACTACTACTACTACTACTACTACTACTACTACTACTACTACTACTACTACTACTACTATTGCTGCTACTATACTATTATTGAAACCAAAATTGATAACCCAACCGGACGGTCGAGTTCTCTGCGATCTTCCGACTAAAAATGAACCGTCCCAAAACTGATCTCCCAATTCGAAACAAAATCCATCCTGTCCTGGATCCTGTGCGCGCTTTGGCAGGGTGAGTTGGTGGACCGGATTGAATACTGCGTCACACAAACAGTTGACCACGTTGGTCAAGCTCATGGTCAGCTGAAGAAGGCCAAAGAATATCAGTCAAAGGCGCGCAAGGTAAACACTGCTGTTATTTATTAAATGACACTGATTCATTGTTTACATTAAATATTCTCGAGTATAAAGATATTGAAGTATTAAGATAAATGTATAAATAATTGAATCGATCGATTTTTCTATAATACTCGACTACGTTATGCTGCAATCTTCTACTCCGCGATCAATGTCTATATAATATATTATAACTTATAACAATAACAGTGTCTTGTAAACACACATCGTAAAACTAAAGATTATTCCCATCTCGTAGTGCCCTCACTTATCCTATTTCCCGTCCGAGCTACTCAGCTGTGCTTTTCTCTCTTACTTCTTAAGAGTTAAACGATTGATCGACATTAAATGTCATAGAATTTTTAAACCTCATGCAGATACTCCCTTCAACCTTTCAGCTTTTATTATCTTATCTTTTAACTATTTAATAATTATTTTTTATTTTAAATACTTGTCGTTTTTATTATTAATGAGTGTTTTTTTTTTTTTTTTTTTTTTAAGGCGCTTAAAAATACATCGCCATGCTTGTAGATAATTCAAAATTTACTGTCTGAGGTGTATATTACAGATAGTAATAAAGATTTATGGTGTCATAAAGATGAAAAATATATTATGCCATACATGATAATATAATCTCTTGTAAGAACAAATCAATCATCAATTTTATACACTATTAGTTTTGCAAATTTTTATTTATTAAATTTGACACTAATAATTTAAAATATTTTATACATCTAGTCTGGTACAAATAATTACTAAGTATTTGCATTCACTACACACTGTAATATCAAACTTGAACTTTAATAACACTTTTCATACCGTCAATTGACAAGTATTTAAAATTATAATTACGACAAAATATTATTTATGTTATTGGTGTTGTACGATACCCCTTAATCGTTTTGTACCGAGTGTGTGTTAGAAAACTTTATTGTGGTAGACTCAAGTACTCGCAGCTATTAGTTATTAAAAATGTAATAACAGAGGAAAATAAATAAAATATAAATGCGGTAATTTTAAAAGTAGATAAATTTGAATTGAGAGTTACGAATAATAAAAGATAACAATTTGCAATAAAAAAGTGTGATATCTTAATGTAATGTCTTGCTTCTATCGAAATAAGATGTTACTGCTACGAAGTAAGTAATACAAGAGAAATATTACTTGCAAGCATTAGTGTCATTAGACGCGCATTACTATATTTCGTTGGCATACGTGCATGAATAGGTACTTTAACTGCTATTACATTATTATTATTATTATTGTTATTATTATCATTATTGTTAATTTTTTTTTTTAGTACTGTATGATTTTGAATGTTCAATGGTAGCTAATTTTACAAACATTCTATTATATTTAATGAAAAACAAAACAATTAAATTTAACAGAGAAAATTTATTTAAAATACAAACACGAATATTTTTTATTCAATTAACATTTAAAAATAAAAAATTCATTTCATTCTGTATGTTGCCGTACCAAGACTTGGTCATTTTGCAGCAACTGTTTTTCTTCTTTTTTTTCGAGTGAAATTTATTAGTTTTTTTTTTTTTGGAGTCTTATGCGTCAGCCTTCTGGCCTAGACACGTGGGATTTTTACGTCCCTTCCTACTATTTATTGTGTTTGATGTGCCGAACTACACATCTTAACCTCCTATCCGCGGCTGTGGCCGTCTTACAGTCTGTACCCGCATTCGCCTGTGTCCCACCCTTAGCACAGTGACCGAGGAAACCACAGAAACCTGGCCAGGATACAGTCGGCAAGGGAGCAAGCCTTGGAAATCGCAGAAAAATTGCGACTGCCAAGGCTCGAACCCACGCCTGAGCGACTGTTGAACGGGCAGTTTAAGACTTAAACCGCTCGGCCACGCAGTCGCGAAATTTATTAATTAGTAAAAGTATTAAGTGCATCATTGTTTTTATTACACTTTTCTTTCTTCATATTTCTACATATTTAACTATAAACTCATACTACAAAAGCATGGAATAAAATAATGCTGATTAAAACAATTATTTGAAAGAGAGTATTTAAAAAAAATCAATTAATCTCTCTTTCAAATGAATTTTTTAAATTGTATGTTCAATTAGTAATGTTTATCTAAACATACGCATGAGTAATTAAACAACAGATTACGTAAACGCCGTTTTTAGATACACATTTTTTAAAAAATAATTTTTTTCCATTCCTCTCACTCTCTCTTTTCTTATTTTGATTATTAAATTTTTTTGTTTCTCTTCTGAGTAATTAATTAAAACAGGATTATTTTCATTAGTATATGTGGTCATAAAATGGCCATGCATAAAATGCACTAGACATAACTTGTCCTTTTTGTCCACAGAAAATGATCCTCATTATGATCTGCGTCATTATTCTCGCCACCATACTAATCTCCGTTCTGCTGTCGTTCATTCCGATCTTTTAAGCTACCGAGTGGAGATATGAGTAAAAGAGAGAATGGAATGCGAAGAATTATTAACTCAAAATAATGTTAATACATTTAATAATAATAATAATAATAACAATAATAATAATAATAATAATAATATTAATTACAATAACTAAAATTTAAATCATGATGCCGGTGACATAACAAATAGAAAAAAATTTTTTTAAATAATTAATTGAAATTTAGAATTGGCAAGCCTTCGGTGTTTTAGCGTAGATTTCAAAAAAGTTTTAGATAAATCCGTCAATTGTTTAGAAGAGATTTAAAATTAGAAATTTTTTCTCACACTTATTTTGTGTGAAATTAACGATAGTTATTATTAATTTAAGTAAGTGTACTTTTCAACTATTCTAACAAGTTATTTAATATCGAGTAGAAATAATTAGCCGCGTAATTTATATTTCCATTCCAAGCGTCACAAAGAAAAATGTTGACTTTTTGAGAGATTCTATTTAACAAGAAGTCAGAAATTTATAATTGACAACTTAAATTAAACAAAACATCACCAAAAAATTTTTGTGCCACTTGGGATATTGTAAATGCACAATCGATTTAAATAATTATTTATTTATTTATTATTGTATAATTACAGTCTTGAAGATAAAAAACATTTCTTTTGATATTAACATACATAGTCTTATAAAAAAAAAAAAAAAAGAAAAAAGAAAAAAAAAATTATCTATATACAAAAAATTTTGATAAGTTTTCTTCATAAATTAATTTTAATTAATAATATGATTATTTTTGCATTTTAATTTACATTAACGTTTAAATTATAAATTTTAATCCAAAGTATATTTAACTGGATTTGTTAAATTTTTTTCTACTTAGAGTTTTTCTTAGATAATTAAATCTTTTATAAATTTATCAAGTATTTTAAATTAAAAAAATAAAAAAATAAAAATATCTTATTAAGATAAGAAAATAAAATTCCGCAAAATTCTGTGTAGAATTGAGCAATTAAGATAATTTTTAGAAAAATTTTCAACCGTGAAAGAAAATAATTTTTCTGAGCCTCACTTATATACATTTTACATACTAACAAAACTTATTAGCATAACACTTATTAATAAATCGCCAAAGTATATTATAAGTTTGTGAAATCTGACATAATAATTTATCGTAGAGCAGACTAATTATTTATTGATAATTAATAATTAATAATTGTCTATTACTGTTATTTATTATTGATTGTTATCTTCGATCTATACATAGCTACTGAAACTAAATAGCAAATATATAAATAATGTTTCGAAAATTCTATCAGCTGTTGAAATAATTTATAAAAATTTATTTAAAATTATTTTTTTGTTACAAAAATAATCTGTCAATAATTTTTTATTAATTTTATCAAATTATTTGGAGTTTGATCCGTGAGTAGAACAATAATTAATTAAATCATTTAAATAAGAGAATAAAAAGGGCCTAATCAAAATCCAACTGATTTAACTAAACCGATTAATAATTTTTTTTTTTTTTTATTAAAAAAATAATAAAGCTGCCGAGTGTTATAAGTTATAAGC